CCCCCAGTCTAGTCCCTGTCCCCTCCCTGAGGTCCTGGTCTTCAATCTGGGGCTTCTCTCTCCCCAGAGGGGTCCTTCTCAGGTTCCTGCTTTCACCAGACCTCAAGGCCTAGACTAGACCCGCCTCCTCTTTGAAGCCCCGCTCTTCTCCAGGCCCCTCCCTCCCCATCTCTCCTTCCCAGGCCGGCCCCTTCTAACCAGATCCCTGGACCTAGGCCCTGCCCTGTTCCCAATGCCTTTCTTAAGGCCTTGCCCGATTTGCAGGCCTCTCCCCTCCTAGTTCCCCCAGGCCCTCCTGCCCGATGGGGTGTCTTTAGTTACAGTCCACACCAGACAAGCCCTGACCAGGCCCAGGACATGTGTCCGAGGTTTCCTCCTGGGGAGGGTCAGGCCTGGGCTTCCGAGGTGCTGAGACCCCCATCTGTGCCTCCAGGAGACCCGGCTGAATTGCATCCGCATCGCCAGGAAAGGTAAGTCCTGCCAGGTAGGCAGGTTTCTCACCTGCTGGGCTTTGGGAGCTGGACCCCGAGCACCAGGGCTGTGGGAGCAGAGGAGGGTGGTCCAGGTCCTCTGGGTCAGATTGAAGACCCAGATTGAAGACCAGGTCCTCATGTTCCTTCTTGGCCCAAGGGCAGCAGGGATAACCCCCTCCCTCCCCTCGCTCCTCATGGTCACAGAAGGGGCCTTGGTAAGGGCTTGGAACAGGCCTGTGGACGGGCAGCCATTATGGTTGGGCCATGGGAGTGATGGATGCTGGGCACTAGCTCTGGGTTCTTATTTGCCCCCTTTCCTGTGGTGGGGACAGGGTGGACCCTCCTGTGTGGGGACTGTCTCTGCTCCCAAATAGGAAGTGTGGCTGGTTCCCCATCCTGAGATGCCCTAATCACACCCTAGGTACATAGTTATCTCCTATCACCTCCCAGGAGGGCCAGAAGGTGGGTCTGAAGGTCCCAGGCATTCCCTGTAGGTTGGGGGGACTGGAGAAGGCAGAGAGGAGATGGGAGCTATTCCTGATAGGGGAACAGTGCAGGTAAATCCTCTGACACGGGGATGCAGAAGGTGTGAGGGGCGGCGAGGAGACACGTTGAGGAGGGGCAGTTGTCTCTGTGCATGTGTGTTTGTGCAGCCCGGTGCCTTCCTTGTGGCTCAGACCGAGGGGTAGGTGGTCCCTGTCTTCCCCTCTGATCCTTTGTCCTGCTTTGCTCTCCCCAGCTGCCTGCAAGGAAAGCAAGCGGCCCCTGGAGGTGTCCCAGAGATCAGAGGAGATGGGGCTCATCTTGGGCATCTGTGCGGGGGGACTTGCCGTCCTCATCCTCCTCTTGGGGGCCATCATTATCATCATCCGCAAGGGGTGAGTGAGGCTGTGCCCTGGCCCATCCGTGGCTCCTTCCCTTCAGAGGCCTGGTGGGCATAGAGGAGGCATGGCTAGGGCTGGAGCTGGCAGGGCAGCCGCCCGGCGGGTGTGTGGAGGGCTGCCAGCCTAGGCATCAGGCCTGTGGATGGACCCAAGCCGCGTGGTGGGAAGCCAGAGACTCCGCAAATGGAGCTGCCCCTAAGCAGCTTGGCTGGAGCCTGGGTCTGGCTGGTGCCAGGTGCCACTATCCAGGAAAGCAGTGCCTGCTGCCAAGGAGCTGTGCTGGGCTCGCCTGTGCCCGCTGGGCTGTTCAAGTGCAGAAAGTGTGGAGATGACATAATTTTGAATCCCCAGCCCCCTGCAGACCTCCTGCCGACTTGTGACTTGTCTGCCCTGACTACAGGGTTGTGGTGTTGACCTTGAGCAG